CCAAAATGGCATAATTACAAAAATAAAAACGAGTCAATATGTAATTGGGAAGGTAGGAAGGAAAGAGGAGAAGAAGACTGAGTTGGGTATCACAAAGGAATAGAGAGGAGAAAACAAAATGGGCTATGAAGAAATGAGATACCATCTCACACCAGTTAGAATGGCGATCATTAAAAAGTCAGGAAACAACAGGTGCTGGAGAGGATGTGGAGAAATAGGAACACTTTTACACTGTTGGTGGGATTGTAAACTAGTTCAACCATTATGGAAAACAGTATGGCGATTCCTCAAGGATCTAGAACTAGATGTACCATATGACCCAGCCATCCCATTACTGGGTATATACCCAAAGGATTATAAATCATGCTGCTATAAAGACACACGCACACGTATGTTTATTGCGGCACTATTCACAATAGCAAAGACTTGGAATCAACCCAAATGTCCATCAGTCACAGACTGGATTAAGAAAATGTGGCACATATACACCATGGAATACTATGCAGCCATAAAAAAGGATGAGTTTGTGTCCTTTGTAGGGACATGGATGCAGCTGGAAACCATCATTCTTAGCAAACTATCACAAGAACAGAAAACCAAACACCGCATGTTCTCACTCATAGGTGGGAACTGAATAATGAGATCACTTGGACTCGGGAAGGGGGACATCACACACGGGGGCCTATCATGGGGAGGGGGGAGGGGGGAGGGATTGTACTGGGAGTTATACCTGATGTAAATGACGAGTTGATGGGTGCTGACGAGTTGATGGGTGCAGCACAGCAACATGGCACAAGTATACATATGTAACAAACCTGCACGTTATACACATGTACCCTAGAACTTAAAGTATAATAATAATAAATAAATAAATAAATAAATAAATAAATGAAAAAGAAAAGAAGTGAGCCATAGAGCAATCTCCTATATATGAGGGAAGAACTCACCCTAGGCAACCCATGCTGTTTTCAGAAGCAAGCTGAACACTGTATGGATGATCAAATAAAAAGGGAAAAGACCACCATGACTGAAAATTCAATAAGAGCAAAACAGGAAGGCGAGAAGAAAATTTATTTTTAGTGATATGCACTAAACACACGCCTAAACAGTGTTCCCACTTTAAGTACTTCCCTAATTCTCAGTCTGATGCTATGTTAGTCTCTAGCTCCAACTCTCTACAATAAGGATATGATGAGAGAAGAAAACAGTAGAGAGAGAGAGAGAGAGAGAGAGAGAGTGTTTAAATTCTCAGAGACAGAGACAATCTAAAAGTTTGGATTTTGCGACATTTTTCAGAGTTTAGTATATTTTAATAAAAGAATTTCACTAGGCATTTCTGAGCCTGGGTTTCTTCACCAGTAAATTTATAAAATTATTCAGTTCCAATAGAAAATCTTTCAGTCTCTTCCAGTTTTTAATATTTTAGGCTGTAATTGGCAACGATTAAAGTGGGGAAAAGTTATTTGAAATCACTGTTCTGAAATACCTACAAATATAGTTGCCAATAACTAGAAGGATCCATTAGAATTTAAATGAATGGCATTTTTAAATAGAAGGAAATAAATCCAATGGTATATCCAATTCATCATGTTGATCTTTTGCAAATGGTTACTGATTCTTATTGTCATGCGGTAACAATGGTTTGTCATACAATCCCATAATAAGACTTAGGACAAAGCAAAACAAAGTTGGCCCAAGATGAAAATACCAACACATTCTTGCATCCGAGAATCTGTTGTCAAGCAGGGAGGATCTCACAACCAGAAAACATTTTCTTTCAAGATGGTACCACTATTTCCTGGCTACAATTTAATTAATCAGCTCTTTTTATAATAATCTAAGTTTGCAATCTCCCAACAGTCAGGGTAGGAAAAATTTTAAAGCCCAGGCAAAGAAAACAAATGAATAGTGCAAGTATTACATAACCCACTGAGAAGTAAAAACTTAATTAGTATCATGACAATATCATCATTGTGGTAGTGGGAAACCATTAACCATACTTAGAAATACTTTAGAATAAAAAATACATAATTATATACTTTCATTCCAATTCTTCACTGGACTTCTTAAGACCTACATGAATGCATAGATTAATATCATGAAAATATGAAATATTACTTTATGAAAGAAATACCCATTTTAGAAAATCCGACATAGCCACTATACCTTAAGGCAATTTAAAATGTCATATTTTGCCTTATATTATAACAAAGACAAAGAATGTTGTAATTTGACAAGAGTCAGTGAGGGAGTAATTCCAGTATTTATAAAATAAAACTTTAATACTAGTAGGTAGATTGGTTTGGGGAGCAACGCTGCAGACACAATTACTGGGATTGTCTCTCTTCTACTCTCTCAGGCTCCAGGATAAAGAAGAATCAATTAGCCCTCAACAGTCTATGACCTTGAAGGCTACAGCTCTGTGCATAATGTGCTGAATATGCTGAGACAGAAAAAAAAAAAAAAAAGGAAAAGGGAGAATAAAGTCCTAAAACCACTGAAGAGCATGTTTCACATATGATAATGTCATTTTCAAATATAAGCCATGACAGCTTAGTTTATGTCAAAAACATGCACGGTAAAAGGAACGTCCCAGTTCTTTCTGCGACTAAACAATACTTTCTTAGTTGAAAAATACAATCCCTTTGTAAGCTTTTTTCCCCCTTTCCATTAATTAATGGTTACAACCTTTTTAAACAACAACAAAAACAACCACTTACAAGTCTCTAGAAACAAAGCTGCCTGGACCAATCCCTTTCAAACACTACTCCCCCCAACCAATACCCCCCCGACCCCCCGCCCCACAAAAAGTAGGCTCACAATTTTTAGAATACTTGATTTTTTTTTTTTTAAGGGACTAGTCCAAAAAATTAACAGAGTCTCCCTACAGGTTTTAAAGTGTTAGCCAACTAACTGTCTACCCCTAACTTTTCAGGAGAAAACTACTTCCCAGACTGCTTCTCTAGGCTTATCTCCGATGCGCTTCAAAACGTTGCAGCTGTGCATCTGGTCAAACTGGCCACAATGATGCTTTTAGGCAGCAGTAAATCTTTCCCATTTATTGCAGATGCCACAATATCAATGCCCTGGCTTGGAAAAAAAAAACTGATAAGGAATATGTAATCTACTAAAACACTTAGTAGAAAAATTTACTTTACAAAATAATTTATCAAAACTTTACAACATACTTTCTGACATGGTCTTAGATCAGGAAAATGTGCTAGATGTTTCTTTGTTTTCTTGATTTCCTCAGATGACAAAATTATAGAATTTAGTTGAAGTGTTTTTCAAAGGGCATTTTTTTCTTTCTCTGGACAATGAAACCTGTTTAAGCAGATTTCAATTAAAGACTTAAGTTTAAAATGATCAAGTAACCTTGTTCTCCTGATGAATTTCGCTTCTCTTTGCAGGATCTGTACTTGCTTTTTATAGCATGTCATTTCATCTGGGTATTATTTCCCGGTCACTTTGCCAGGTGGGAAGAGGCAGCAAAGGCGGTGATGTCTGTCAGACCTTTAATGATGCTTCAGGGATTTGATAAAGATACAAAGCATTGTCTGCATGAAGGAGGTTTTCCCTAATTGCACCTAGAAAACAAGACTCTTTTTTTTTTCTTTAAATCTTTGCCATTGAATCTGGTGTGTGTGAAATGATTAGGAGTTACAAGCACAAATCAAGTTTTTCTGTGTTTCTATAGCATGCTGCACTACTTCACATTGAACGTGACGTCTGGAAAAGGTACTCTTTATTCTTCATTACTGTCCAGAGGAAAAACAAAAGAGGCATTTCGTCAGAGAAATTGTCAACTCTCTTTTAACCCTAAGAGCTTTCATGTAAGTTATTAAGAACCAAATTTTCTGATCTTGTACTTTCCTACTAAGTAAATATTCCTCATGGTAAAAAGTGATAGGAGATAGAGACAACAAAAATAAACTAGAAACATTTTTAAAAGGCTATAGAAAACTCCTCCCTTCTATATTGATGTTTAGAACAGTCATGCTTTCATTCCTGTCAACTTTCCACTCTAAAGCTATTGCAGTTACCTAATGCAAATGCAAACAGAAATGTATTGTTTTTAAGAGCGTGGGCTCTCTTCACATCACAGGTTATTAAACTGGGCTGCTGCAATCTGCCAGACTAAGATGACACATGCCTTAAAAAGAAAAAAAAAAAAAAAAGAGGTACCTCACTAATGGATCTTGTACTTTTTAATGACTGCCAAGGAAGCTATTTAAACATTTGATTATAGAAGACAAAACTAATTTGGGCAAATCCTTCATGCAGAATCCTACTGTGTCCTGGACAAAATAAAGCTGCCGTTACTAAGTGCTCACTAACTGAAAGTACAGTCTGGGCAGGACAGTAGTCATCTCAAGCTAGTGAGAGGCAAGCACCGTAAATGTCTTAAGACTTGCTGCAATCTCAGAAAGAACCAATTAAGATACAAAAGTAGGGAGAGGTGGTTAGAGAACAGGAAGATGGGAGAGAAAGACAACAAGCAGTTTGGGGTTGCTGAGAGGTAGAGGGTAACAGAAAGGTGACAGGAAATCTATGATGGGGAAGAGAAAGACACAAAATAATACTGGTATATATGAAAGTCACATTTCTATAAAACATGAAAAGATGGCCTGATGTTTCAATTTTAAAATGTGTTAGAAATAAATTGAATTTAACTTAAATTCAAGCCTGACTTGCAGATGCTGAAGTTTTGCATTCCCGGTACCAGACTGAACAATGTGGCTAGAGAGAGCTGCTGTCACAACACTGGTTCAGACCCGGAATTTGCAAGATCATTTTACTCAGCCCTTCAATGCCAGCCCAAGTGTCTCAAACACATGCTTTGCTTAAACAAAACCAGGCAACTAAAATGCAAGAAGAAAGGGAAACATCCTTTGGGGACCTCAAACCCACCCCTTTCCTTTATTCTTCTTCTTCATCATCATCATCATCATCATCATCATCATCATCATCATCATCTCTCTCTCTCTCTCTCTACTTACAAAGTTTAGGAGCAGTTTGGAGATTAGTTTCTGTTGTTTGTGGCTGAGTTGCTGACTTGGGCGTTCTCACCTCAGGGTTCCGGGTGGGTGAAGGGAAGGATGGTGCAGTGGACGGCAAGAAAGAAAAGGCAAAAATACGATTCTTCGGTGTCGGTGCCGCTGATGGTTCAAAGGAGACAACAGCCTTGTCACCTTGCACTGTAACTTGAACCTTGCTTTCAGATTGAGCCCTAGAGACAGGTGAAGTATATGCCTCAGACGACACCCACACAGCTGAGGCAGCAGTTGGGTCCAGAGAAATAATAGGGTCCTGGCCTAATCCCCCAGGGTCAAGGTGAGTAGGAGAGTCATACTCAAAGATCTTGTCCACGAATACCCACTTGAGGCCGGCAATGCAGAGGCAGAGGCTGACCAGGCAAGCCAGGATGGGGACAATGCAGATTTTCTCTGAGTTGAGGCAACCTCTCAGGCGCTCAGCTTCTAGGCACACACAGCAGGGCACGGCCAGGCCCACAAGTCCAGGGGTTCTCCCATCTTCAGTCTGGGGCTCTGGCATGTCTTCTGCTGCCGGAAGCCCATCAAGAGATGGGTCTGCACTCAGCTGAGTGGAGGGGCTAGAGGACCTCTCGGCGGCGACCTCAGACATGTCTGGGGAATAAATCTCCATCGGCTCACCTCCAGAAGAAGGCCTGGCCGCTCTCACGGTCCATTACCACGCAGAGGCCCCCCCAACCAAATGATACAGCATCTTAAAGGGGGAAATCGATAAATTGTCCAAGTCCAAGGCCATTATCAAAATCAAGAAGAGTTCAAGAAGATGCAAGGGGGGAAGAAAAGCTCCTAGCAACTACAAAATCAGAGTATATCGTTATAATTCTTTAAACTGCTGTTTCTGGGCCACTTTTCTAGTTCTTTTAAACGTTACTCCAAACCATCCCGGGCTCGTCAAGAGGACAGGGACCAAAATAGATCGACGGAGCTGCTGGCTGGTTAATTAAGTAAACCAGTAGCCCAAAGTGAAAGGCATGTTTCTCACCTCGAGCATCTGAAGCTGGTGTCTGCTCAGATGAAGAAAACAACTGTCATGCAGGAGAAGTAAAAGCAGAAGGAGGACCAGCGGCGGTGGCGGCGGCGGCAGCAGCGGCGGCGGCAGGAGAGGCAGTAGTGACAATAGCAACAGCATCCTGTTGTGTTAACGCGACTACGGCTGAAAGGGGCTGAATCATTACAGAGCAGCAGGTGCCTGCCCTCGGAGCATCACTGCAAACAGGATCAGAGGGCTCCGGAGGCAAGAGTGCAGCCAGGAGGGGCGGTCACTCCCTTCCCCGCCCTGCCTCCACCCCACCCCCGACTACTCCTCTTTGTCCTTCTTGAGTGCTCATTCACTTTCTTCCTCTGCGGCTCTTCTCTGCTTCAGTCTCTCTCTTTCTTTCCCTTCTTCATCCAAGCCCGTCCTCTCTCTCTCCTCTCTCTCTTTCCTCACCCTCTCCCAACCCCCACTCCCCACTCTCTATCCACACTCTAGAGCTGCAGGCTGGTCTGAGTAAAATCAGTATCCCCAGCCACACAGGACTGCCAGTGACTTCCTATTTTATCCAATTAGAAGGAATAAAGGCCATCAAATCAAAAAGAGGCATGCAGGCATCAGTTAAGCCTAGTCCCCATGGCCCCCACCCGTTTTCCTCCTTTTTCTTTCTTTCTCTACAAAAGCTGTCCCAGTCTTCTTCTACCCCCACCTTGCCGGCTTTCAGTCTCTTTCCTTCACCCACTGTTGGGTCAGAAAAAGCCAGCGATCGATGCTAGCAATCTAACAAAGCTGGGATGGGGAGGGGGTTGGGGGGGTGTAGGTGGGACCTTATGGGTTGGACCTGAGGCTTGGCGAAGTCTGCTATCTGATTCCTCCCTAGAGAGGTAAGCTTTTCAACAGCAATTTCTTCCTGCCTGCTGCTGAGAGATAGCATTCCTTCCCTAGCCCTCTAATAAGTTTTGTTCACTAAGAGGACTGTTATTACCTGATTTTCGACCAACAGTTTGAACGTTTTTTTCCTAACCATGGACAGCTCTGCCTTTAGCCCTTTTTGCAATGACTCTGTAAGACTTTGTCATGCCCAGAGAGAAATGCTGAGTACAGGCTGGAGGGAGTGCTAGGGGAGGGGTTGGCAGCCCATATATCCCCTGCTGTGGTCCCCTTTGAATTTCCATTTCTTCTATCTCACCCAAAGAAGACTAGACTAATGTCAAGCTAATAGGAAGCACCAGTAAGTAACAGAGTTATGATGCGAGCAAAGCTACCACTTCATTTTTAGATTAGCCTTTCATGGTGACTCCACACTGCAGAGGTCTGAATTCCCTGGCACTGTAATATATACCACATGTCCTCAGCTATCACCGCACTGCAAGTACTAAGAAGAGTTTTCGATGAGAGCATGCCTTTTGGGTTAGGTTTCAGGAGCTTTACCTTCCAGATAGTTTCAATGCTGATTTTTTTTCTTTTAAAACAACAGTCATTAAAACACTAGAAGAAAGCACTGTTCATAATAGAGACCACAGGCTTCTCCAAGCACTCTGCTCCATGTCACTTCACACAATATGCATCTGAACCTGTAATGCACACTTACTGTGACTGGACATCTAAACGGTTTCCAAGGAACCATTCTGTTTACCTATGTCAACAGGAGTCTTTAAAACTCTCTCTAAATCTATACTACATAGCCATCATATGAGTCCCTGAAGCAGTGAAATTTAGAACTCAAGTCCTGAGAAAATCTGCTTTAAGCATGTTGTATTTTGTAGGGCACAATCTCCACTGCTTTGAGGTACGTTTCAGCTTCAAATGACAGGAGATAAGAATATTATCACTTCTTCCTTCAAGATGAAATTAGTCCATAATTATAAATGATTTAAAGGGTCTTAACATCTTAAACTGTGTTTGCAGTACTATAACAACAACAAAAGCCTGTGCCAATTTGCATAATTGTAACCATGACTATGACAACTTTATGGGCAACATGAGTTATCCTTAAGTTCATCTCTCTATAATCTGCATATATATACCAGTAAATGGTGTTTAAAAATAATTCCTATGCTTATTTTCTAGGTTTATTTGACTTTAAAGCAGTGAGAGCTCTCTTACAAAGATTCTAGCAATGGACATACAATTTCACAGTGTAGAAAATGTCTACTGAAGCACTTAAAGCATTCACATTGAAAGACAGTAAGATCTCAATGATCAATATTCATGTAAATATTCAGAAACAATATCAGCAGGTGTTTATGCTAAACTACGGTAATTTATAATTTCTTCAAAAAGTACCCAGTTGAAATATATGGCACTGAATTCCTCAATTTTGACCTAAACCAAAATATTATACTCAGTACACTAGCATTTCATCCAAGGCCAAGGTCAGCTAAATTTCAAAGACCAAAATGGGGTTCAGGTGGCCCCAAGTCCGGCAGATAGGAGAAAATACCAAGCATGATAACCCATAGTTTAGAAAGGTGGTCTTTAACTTACACCAATAGCAATTATTCACCTTACCTCAACCATTAAGAACAAACATATTCAGCAGGGAAGAAAAAAAAAAAAAGTTACTGGGCATTGCTCTAGCTGTTACACTGAAAATACCCAACACTTATAGAGAAAACCAACATTTTATACAAAGACTAGGACAACACATCAGAGAGAGAATCCTGTGGACTGCCACAAGTACTCTTTCCCTTGGACTACATAAACCAGACTTTGGGATGTGTCTGTTTTGCCCCCAGAAAGGCATTCCATAAACCCTGTGGCACCTTGGTGCTAAGATTAGTCTGCAGACAGTCAGCTTCCTATAAAATTGTTTTTTTTCCACCAAATTGGAAAATAAATGTAAATGGGGAAATGGAGAAGGATGGGAGGTGAAGAATAAAAGGAATTCTCCTTTAGTTCTACCCTTGGGACTAGGACCCAGAAGTTGCCTTTCTCCCTTCATCAAATCCTCTATAGCAATAAAAGAGTGAGAAAGGAAAGTGTGAATGGGGTTAGAGGTCAGAATTTCCTTTGGATAAAACATGTATGTTTGTAGGAAAAACTGCAAGGATATAGCATTTTAACCCTTTAAGCTCCACCCCAGTAAAGCCCAGGAATACCCCATTTCCATGTCCTCTTAGAAAAATAAACTAGACAATTTTTTACTACCTTTTTAAACCTTTTACACCATCTCCCTCACAATAACAAAAGCTACCTTTATTGAGTTCCACCCAGGCAACAAGCACTCTGCTAGGTTCATAATACACATTGTTTCTGATCTTCACTAATCCCATACAGTCCATACTAATCTTAAAATTTTTTTAAAAATATTTCATTGGCCCAGGTAGCTTAGGTAATTTTGCCATGGACATATAGCTATGTGGCCAAGATTTGAATACGTTCTGATTCATTCTATTTCTGCTGACAAATACTGATTTTGTTTTTTTATCAAAAGGGTGCATTTGATTATATTATTGATTACGTATCTCTTCAAGAAGAGACTATGAAAACCAGAATAGATAACTATGAAATAGGAATTATTACCTTAATATAATTTGTAAACAAACTTAAAAGGATCTAGTTTTCAAAATAAGACTTCTAAAATTTTGCCTAATAATTTTTAGAAATTATAAGAATTAAGCATGGACCATTTAAATACTATCTATTTATCATTTAAATCAAATGAGCTCTTCCATGGTCTCATTCCAGGACTTCCTTTGGGAACCGATTTCAGTTATGTATTGCTGTGAAACAAACCGCCCGGAAATAGCTTACAGCAACCGCCATTTTATTCTGTAGGTTTACTGGGTTCAGCTGAGTGGTTTCTCTGCTCCATTTGACGTCAGCTGGTGCTGCAGGTGAGGTGCAACTAGGTGAAAACATTCAAAATGGCTCCCATACATGATGACTGGCAGCTGCTGCTAGATGCCAGCCGGCACTGTGAAATGGTGCAGCAACCTGTGGCCTCTCCTTGTGGCTTGAGCTTCCCACAGTATGGTGGCCAGGTTGTGAGAGAAAGCACCCCAAGAGGAAGAAAACACAAGCTGCCAGTACTCTTAAAAGTCTGTGCCTGAAAGCAGAACAAACTATTTCCCCTGCATCCTACTGGTTAAGAAGTCACCGTGCCAGCCTAGACTCAAGGACAGAGGAAATACATTTTGAGGGAGAAAGTGGCAAAGAATTTGCAGCCACAATTAATCTGCTACAGAGGATAAGAAAGTAAATGCTAGTACACCAACCTGGATCAAGAAGAGAGACGGTAATATAGAATGGGATTTGGCAGAATAAAGCAAAATCTACTTATATTTCTGATCCACTTTCATAATATTTCAGCTTCCTTCTAAGTTGGCTTCAAGAAAAAAAATCCTGTAATATCATCAAATAAAAAAATACTAGAATTTCTCTGCTACTTCAGTTCAAGTTAGTCTATGAATTCAAGCTAGTCATTCTGCTTTACTTTTATTTACTTTATCATCAGAAGAATGTACGGTAGCTCCAACAGATGAAACAGAATGATAAATATCATTTTGCTTTTGACCTTATTACTCACTTATTTTCTCTTTGACTTTTTTCCTGTATCTTGGCGATATAACTCTAAAATATTATCTCTCTGAAATCTAAAAATACTATCACTGAAAAACTTTATCCTTGCTCCTAAATTTTATGGCTGGCAAAAGAGTAGAATTTACTTCACGGTATCTAACATAAAATAAAAATGATGGCAGCAGTTGTTTCATTTGGGGAGATCCCTACATACAAATGGCAATTATTTATTTATTTGCTGAGGAATTATGAAATCATAATTTTCATAAGAAAGCGCCAGGCCATAAAGTTAACTTTAAAACCCTGCAGCTTCTTTGGAGGATAAAGTACACCAATGGATCTGTCAGCTTCCTCCACCTATCCAAAAAACATGCCCTCAGCTAGGTCTTAGCTCCTTGACAGAGCCCTTCCCATTTTTCCAAATCATAGACCCAGTATTTCTTAACTGAAACGTTTACTGGGGCACATTCACAGTCATGCGTCATCATTTAATTACATCATGTATACAGGGCTGAAGAATGCAATTTCTTTGACGGCAAAGATTATCAGTATTTGATTGTCTGATAGAGCTGGGCTATCCATTCAATACATACATTTGGTTTGGTTTTACTTTTAATTGGGATTGAATTACACAGATTATGGGGTCTCTAATAGATCAGCAGGCTTTATTCATACCCTCTATACTCTCCTCCATTTTTTCAAGTTTTAATGGCCTATTCAGATACTTCCTTATCAAATTTTCTCTGATTGTTCCAAAATATGCCTTGAATTAATTTAGCCCGGTCTAGCAAAACTCAACTACCACAGATCCTATCAGTGGAGGGAAAGTTTGGAATATGCTAATATTTAACTATTTTTTCTTGTCATTCCTCTCTCCCCAGCTAAACAGAAAAGTTCTCTGAGAGCAAACCAAATCCATGTGCTGTTTGATGTTCTTCTACATTATTTATGATGCAAAATGGGTGAGATGAATGGAAGTTATTTTACCTTACTGGGCATGTCTTTTCTGCCCACTTTAAAGGTGAGTCAAGACTGATTATTCTTACCCAGTGAAAATGTTCTCAGAGCAGACAATTTGACTTAATTTTAAGCATTACTTTGTGAGATGCTGTATCAAGTGCTTGATATTGACTGTGCTCTGTGTTCTCATTCTGTAACACGATGAGCAATTTACTCTGGTACATTTTGTTCTTTATGAGTTTAGATCCTTTGTAACTGAAGATACAGTAAATGATCTCAAAGATGAAGATGTGAGAATTTCATATGGAAAGATATTTTAATTGCATATGATAGTTATAGTGAGTTTGCTTTACTTTGGGAGAATCTATTAATTTCTCACTCCCCATAAGTAAAATTATTCGTTTTCTACAAACATAGTTTATTGGTCATTTTACAAGTTGCTCTTCTTTTAAAATTCCACTGGAGAAGTTTTGGAACTAGATGGAAGGGGTGGTTGCGCAACACTGCAATAAATGCAACTGGTTGTGACTCTCAAATGGTTAATTTTGCTGTGTGAATTTCAACTCAAGGAAAAATGAGACTGTTAAGTGTAGGCTGCCCTTTCTTCTAGAAAGTATCAATAGGCAATGTGGCATTGAATCTCAGGCAATTATTAACTTTGAACTCTGAACTTATATTAATATTAATTTACATATGTATATGTATATATATGTATATATTTAGAGTCAGGTTTTCACTCTGTCTCCCAGGCTGGAGTGCAATGGCGCAATCCTAGTCACTGCAGCCTTGATGTCCTGGGCTCAAGCAACTCTCCCACCTTAGCCTCTCAAGTAGCTGAGACTACAGGTGCATGCCACCATGCCTGGCTAACTTATTTTTAAATTATTATTATTATTATTATTATTATTATTATTATTATTATTATTTTGTAGAGGCAGGGTCTCACTCTCTCACCCAGGCTAGAGTGCAATGGTGCAATCATAACTCACCATAGTCTCAAACTCCTGGCCTCAG